TCAATAGTAATATATATCGTTAATATCACCAGTTTCTCTAATTTTGGATTGTGTTGGGGTTCAGAGAAGCTGGAATGGATCCTCCAGGTCAGTACCCTAGAGTGCTGGACTGGCGTTAAGGGGATATTTATAGAACCCATGCCTTCCAACTGACTGCATGTACATACAATCGACTCCACCACATGCTAGGGTCATGAGAATTAATAAGTAGGACATCATACAGATTCCAAGCCATGAAGTATAATACCATGTGTACACACACAGCTGCCACGCTCGACCTCACTGAAAATGTGAAGTAGACTGCTATACAACATACTGTCTTGATAATTAAGAAACTGGTGTTTTTAAACTCAGACATCAATAACATGTACACAGATCTGTCAGTTGAAAAAATACTTGATAAATTAATCTTTATTTACTTTTACTAAAATTGTTTTGGCAGATATCATGTTTGTGTAATAAGAATTCACAAACGGTCGTTTTATAAGAACAATTTGTGCTGCCATCTATTGACTAGAAATGAAATTATTTATGGAACATGGAAGTAATATATGCTTATAAACTGAACTCACTGTTAAGTAGTACTTTCCTTTTTTTTTCCCCCCCAGAAAATGTGTCTGGTAGAAGAACAGAATAATATAACTGTTATACAAGTAGGTGCTCAGATAAGACTATAACTCAACTTTAGCAGCTATTTGTAAGCATCACAGAATGATCAGATTGAATGCGGCGGCTATTATTTTCTCGGCCGATCCCTACATACTTAGCATGTCTTTGCTTAGTGATAGGCTACTTCATACTTGGATTTATTTATGAATCTATAACATTTTCAAAAATATTACTTTTAGGTTTTGGCATTACTTTGAAACTTTTAGGCACATTCTTGTGAAGAATGAATGGAATGTAAAAGTTCTGTTTTTTTTTAAATAGTGATAAAATTCAGTAAACGACAATGTAAAGTGTGTTTTGACGATGAGCACTGCCTTAATTGTATCCACATTCAGCCCTGCGCAGACCCGTGTTTGTCACCACGCCCAGAAACTTTCAAGAGATTTGATGTCTATCATAAAACCTGGACGTTTTGTGCTTCCCGAGAACACGGGGACAAACTACTAAAAAATCGGACTGTCACGGCAAAACCGGGACGATGATGTTTTGTTATTAAGCAAAAAGGGCTATCTGTGCTCTGCCCGCCACGGGTATCGAAACCCGATTTTTAGGAGTATAAGTCTGCGGGCATGCCGCTGTGCCACTGGGGGTCAAACTGGGATGTCTGGTTACCAAAGCACAAGGGCCGGCAACCCGCGGCTCTTTATAAATACCCCACCAAATAATGAAAAGCGTAAATTCTAATCTGTCAGAATAAAAAAAATTCAACCAGGCATACAGACGGAATGATAACATCAGATTTGCTTTATTTCTTTGAACGTTTTTAATTTTTAAATAAAAAACATGATACAGTTGCACTTCACATCTCTAGCCTTTTACATTCAAATTCTATAACCTTTATTGCCAAAACAACAATCCTCAAACAATTATAATTTAAACGTGAAATTTAAGCAGATGTGTGTGTGTCGAGACCTCATTAGGCGGTTATGGTTAGAAAAAAAGTGTAAAATCAAAATAAAATAAAACTATTCAAACGTAAAAATGACTTTAAAAAGGAGAAATATAGAGGATGAACATCAAAGATTTGAAAGTGAATGGACTGAATCCTATGCGTTTAACCGGATTTCTGCTATGCCTAATTTGCAACGAGAAACTTGCCAACAACAAGAACTCAAAGGTAGAAAGACATTTTCGTATATTAATATTTAGAGTATTCATATTCATGCATGTTGCGGTTTTCGAAATGTTTTGGTCTTGCACACAAAAAAGGCTCTTCTTCATTGAAGGGTTACCAACTCCTATAACATAACTAACGTTCACTAATAGGCTTAACTTCGCCAATAAACTACGTCTTACACAAATTTTACTTACTTGTTAATTTTGTACCTATTTTTTTCGTCGTAACACAAACTCAATATTCACAACACTGAACTAATTAACTAACTGACATTATGGTAATATCCAAACTGTTCAGTTTCTCGATCGATTAGCAGTGGAATTCTGAAAAGTTAAAGTGAGTAAGGCCTACATTCGTTTCAGAGTTTATGCATTAGACCTACAAGTGAATACAGCCATACTAAACATTTATTGAAGAAATTCGATATTCTTGCGTGAACTGGAAATGGCATTATTTTTACCTAATAATCGAAAAGAACCCGCCCAACCATCCAAAACGTTACAACTTACAGTATAATGTTGGTCTAAACAAACTGTTCAAAATTATGTTAAAAATTTAAATGGTTTTAAACATAAGAATGAAGAGTTTATTCCAGAAACGTCGTCTTCAAAAAATTAAATCAAGATACATGAACCAAAAAAAAATGTTCTTATACAAACAATTTTAACAAATAGAGAAAACACTGTATGTTTTTAACATTCATTTTTAATTTTTTGCTGTAATGGCAGCCAATAACACTTTCAACAGGAATAATACTTGAGAATAAATCTTTAAAACCGATAATAAAGTTTTAAAACCATAGATATTGTTACGACAGCGGAAGTCAAGTGAACCTGGTAACACGTGATGAGTTTCTAGAAGGATCATGACGGCTCGAGTGTTTGCCAGACGCCGTCTATTTTAATATATAAGCCCGGCAAATAAAGCGGAGATAATAATAGCAGATTGAAAAGAGATATAGAGACAGATAATTGAGTCAAGTGAGCGGTAGTGACCGTAAGTAAAGTGCGTGAATCGTTGTGAATTATAGCATGTGTTGAAGTTAAAGTGACCGTGGAAATTCTGTGTATTGCAAAGTTGTAGTGAGAAAGAATAAACTAGTTTTAATTAAGAAAGGACTTGTATCGCTAAAGTTCCTCGGGGAGAATTTATACCGGAAATTAACAAACGACCCGATACGTAACAACATTTTATATGAATTAGCTCTTTTTCTCGCTGATTTTTATCTAAATATCTTAAAAGCATACAGGACAAACAAAGTAAAATGGCGATTTGTTTTAAACTCAGTTATAATTTTAAAAGTTCCGGCTTTTGAATAATCATTGCTAAATTCACAAATGCAAAAGATGAAAAATAAAACATAAAGTTGAAAGTGTATGAATGGTTTTGGCTATTTTTTAGCGCAAAGCTACACAATGAGATATATTGCCTCTCTCCAACATTGTATATCCGCAAAGTTATCGTTGACCTACAGGGCGTGTATGGACGTAATTTTGAGAACGAAGTCTGTTTTATGCTTATCAAATTCGCAACTACTCCTCGATTTGATATATGCATACTGTTAATTAAACACTCTTAACTTTTTTGTTTTTGTTAACTTATTTTGTGTATGTTTAAAATAAATTCATAATCTAAAATGATTTAAATAGTGTTATTATTTCTATTTTATCAAATATGAATTTGAGCCCTTTTTATTCATAAATAGCTTAGAAAATGCTTAATGAACATAATGTGTTTGTTATCCATAATTTGCTTTTTTGGTTATTCATTGGACAAAATATAATTTCTTGTTTTAAATAAAACATTTAAATTCGTAGCACCAGAGGGCGAAAGTAGTGGAGGTTGGGGAAATTATTTTTACTTTTACTACACAGTAAATTTCCATAGTCGAAGTAAAAGTTCGAAAAGTAAGATTTTCATGTACGGTAGATTTTGTTGCATATTATATTATTCCTCATATTTTAAAATATAAGGAATAATTTACTAATTTAATTATAATGTTCTGAGTATGAAAATATTTTTGGTATAGACGTTAGTCTAAACTAAAGATAGTAGTACACAACAACAGTACAAGTACCGGAGCAGTAATAGTACTAATACTTAGTAATAATATATAGTATTTTAGGCTTACGCTTTTGCAGTAATTTTTAAGTGAACAAATAAATTTTGAACCAAATATGCGTTTTAACCAAAGTTCCAAGAACAATTTACTGATATATATATATATATATATTTTAACTTTATTATAGTTTATATGTACGATAGTAGTGCTACTAAGTACTGTTTTGTTAGGTCATTATATTTTTAGAGTATTACACCGTAGCCTGAGGTGGTGCTCTATATAACTAGCTGTAACAAGTGGAAGGGTTTGCCAAGGCTAAGCTAAAACATAATCTTTTAAAAGTAAAGGATATATACATGGTGGAGTTTAAGAAGTGAAGGCAGTAACTTTACACTAAAGAAGTGTTATCATATTAGGCATTGGTAATAGCAGCAGATATTAGTGGTAATAAAACTAAGAGAGAGCAGTATCTATTTCAGGCATAACTGTGGTGTACATGCACATCAGTACAGATTTGTATACACTGTGGTGGTTTATATAAATATAATAGTAAATTATTGACATAATTCATAATCATATTTGGTTTTAAACTTGTTAAAATGTGTGTATCATTTTGAAATTTTGTCAGAGATTATACAGGTTTCATATTATATTTTGTATTAAGTCTTCATACAAGATAGATCACATATTTCATCAGGTCTTCAAAAGGAATATTACATTTATATTTGGTCATTACACAAAATAGATTACATTTTACATCAGGACTTTACAAAGGAATATTACATTTTGTATTTGGTCTTCATACAAAATAGATTACATTTTACATCAGGACTTCACAAAGAAATATTACATTTTGTATTTGGTCATCACACAAGATAGATTACATTTTACATCAGGACTTCACAAAGGAATATTACATTTTATATTTGGTCTTCATACAAGATAGATTACATTTTACATCAGGACTTCACAAAGGAATATTACATTTTATATTTGGTCTTCATACAAAATAGATTACATTTTACATCAGGACTTCACAAAGGAATATTACATTTTATATTTGGTCTTCATACAAAATAGATTACATTTTACATCAGGACTTCACAAAGGGATATTACATTTTATATTTGGTCTTCATACAAAATAGATTACATTTTACTTCAGGACTTCACAAAGGAATATTACATTTTATATTTGGTCTTCATACAAGATAGATTTAAGGAGAACATAAACTCTGCACTTAGTGAACACAAGTATAAAAAGCTAGAGAAAGACACATTAGTAATAATTGGTGACATTATTTATAAATGCCAGAAACTTAGTTGCTGAACTAGTTTGATTAAGCTATAGCATCGACCTATTCATCTCTTAAACTTTTATTGGAGACTGCCTTCATCATTGACCATAGTTAAGATCTTAAAATGATTTGAACAATTAAGTTGTTCTCTATGAAGGCATGTTGTAAAATAGTTGATGTTCTTGTTGACAGTAGTTAAGATCTTAAAATGATTTGAACAATTAAGTTGTTCTCTATGAAGGCATGTTGTAAAATAGTTGATGTTCTTGTTGACAATAGTTAAGATCTTAAAATGATTTGAACAATTAAGTTGTTCTCTATGAAGGCATGTTGTAAAATAGTTGATGTTCTTGTTGACAATAGTTAAGA